CTGTTTAGATGCAGTACAGATGAAAAAATTGCGTGTCCTGGGAGCTGCTATTGTAAAAACAAATTTCTTTCTTTTAAATTTCTAGTTTCTAGCGAAAAATGTTTGTAAAAGATTGGCCTCGCGTTAGATTCTAGAGCTAAAAGTTTTCAACAAGGTCGTTTTAGACCTCAGTTTCAAACTAATTAACTCTGGCGGGAAGTATGTAAGGATCTTAAGTTTTACTAACGTTTATTTTATTTTAAATCTTTACTATCACTTCTTATTTTCTACTTCCGGCCAGAATTATAAGCGTTAACGTATTTATGCAAAGTTTGTCTGGCGAACGCCAAGTATTTAAGTTGTGGCTTTTTGCCAAGCGAGAGAGAGGAAGCAGTTAGTCGAAGCAGGCCGCTTACCTTAGAAGTTTTACTCAGTTGCTGGTTGCCTTCCAGGCCAGAGGTTTAATCCTCTTGATAATTTAAACGTATTGTAGTGTTCACAGTTCTCTGTACTACATACGGCTTCCTGTTAATATAAGGCCAATCTTCCACGTTTATTATTTAAAGTTAAATTAGAGTTTAGTTCTATTTTTATATTTTTACGTTTAGACCACAAGTAGTGGGTCTTTGTATTCCGAAGTACGGAAGTTATTGTAAATAGAGAAAAATAAAGGGTTTTGTATACCCTTCTTGTGTATCCTGTCTACTTCCCACAGTTATTGAACATAGCTTTAGTAAGCTCTCTGTTCCGAGTCAGGTCCTTGCATGTTCCCGAAGAAGGTAAGACGGAACATTGAACCTGATAACCCTTACGTCTCTTTCAACGATGCATCCAGTGCTGCCTATTCTTCTATACTCTCCTTGCTGCAACAGAAGACACGCACACTTCTTGGAGGTAATTACACCAATCAACAGTTGTGCTTCAGGATAATCCCAATTCTTCTTCACAGAATTTCACTAGCATTTATCTCCTGATTCAGTAATAAATAAAGCGAATGACTGCTATAAACTAGTTGCGATTATCTTCAAATCAGTTTCGGACTTGGAATTTAGAACTTTGCTTGAAATTTTTTATATTGTAGTTTCTATAAAATTCTATCATTTAAGAAGTATAACTACACAGAATGCGAATTTTTGCATTAACTCTTGTTATGATTAGGTTATTTAGCTAAATGTTTTGGCCAAAACACCATATTCCTGAAAAAATGAGACACTTTATTTTTTATTAGCAGAAAAATTCGTCAATTCCATTACCATTCGTTATAACAAAACCAAACGTACTCAGCGCAACAAGAAGAATGATCACTGAATTTCAAACGTGTGAATCCTTGTTTTCTCAAACACATGTACCCTACACGCCAGAAATATCCAAGCCTTATCTGAAATTCTGTCCGAAGTCCATCGTCGCTGTAGCAATCTACCCTGACTACCATACCAACCAGATGACTAAAAAAGATGGCATTCAAACCGAAGATGCCATAATATGATGCGTTGGGTTAACTTAGCATTCAAAGTTTAAGAAAGCGGAGTTTGGTATAACGTTGTATGTCACACTTTTCTAAACATTATAAAATTGTGAGTTAAGTTTCCTTAGATCAATAATTGAAACAAGCTATATGTTTTGAAAAAAAAAAAAAAAAGATAAAGGAAAGAAACATTACTATCGGATCAAACTGTGGATTGGAGAATGAAATTTATTGCGCAGGAGGGGAAACTCCTTAAGCTTCATTCCACTTTTGATCGTGATTATCCCAGGAGACAGAATTTAAAGTTGCGTTAAGGATAAAATCTTGAACTTTATAACGCTATTTTACCGCAGTCAACATTTAAACTGTATCTCGCGTACACAAACAGAAGGTTAATTACTTGTGATAAAGAAATTATTAAAGGGAGAGCTGCGTTTGTGTACAGGAAAACCTAACAAAAAGTCATTTTTTATCCTTAGAAACTTGCTAATATTTCGTATCATTAGTTCCTCCATCGCTGGTCTCTTCATCTATAACTGTATTACATAGAAATCAAATTATCCATTTAAGGCTATTGATAACAGATGATTACAGCGAGTGGGAAAAAACATCAATTTTCCTATGCCATTGAGAAATCATATAATTTCCACCGGAAAGAGAATTTAACAAAATGAAATTATTTATACTTTTGCTCAGTTTTTAGAACTCATTTTATAATACTAAAATCTTAAATGTAAGTAAATGCTAAATTAAACACTTCCTGATATTTCTTTTTCCTAATTTTGTGATCTAAATTCTTCTTAGAAAAACCGTTTTTGTACAGCTAGAATGTAAAAATTGTATCATTGCTAACAGTAAAGCTGTTAGTTGATTAAACTGATTTCATAGCAGTTTCAGATACTCAAATATGTTCCTTGTATAGGGAAAGTTATAAGATTTTTCTCTACGAAATAAGCTCAGCATTGGCGCTCACTTTTTTATCGCCAAAATGTAGCTAAAAAATGCGAAACAAAAATAAGAAGGTCAGACAATGTAACTCTCCTGTGATACTTTTACGTTTTCCTTGTAACTGAAGATCTCCATATACAGCATTTTCCCCCTCCCGACGTTTGTTCTGCTCTTACATATGTTTAATACTAAAGGTATAATCTATTGCATTTATAATGTGATTTTTTTTCTAAGGTAATGCATCACTGAAGCTGCTCGTTGCAATCTGTTATTTATTCTATCCAAACCACTGCAATCAAGAGGGAGTCCCTTATTCCGTATTTTCCAAGTAAGTGTTTTTTGTAAATTTACGTTAGTTAACTGCTGTTCGTGTACATATTGATGAAAACACTTCCTGGGGAATGCATTTTAAGCTTAAAAGCTGTTGAAAGTAAATTATTAAAAGTACTTAAGTTAAAACTGATAGAATACATTATGGAAGGAAATAACAGACGCTATTTAAAAATGTAACTATGAAATCAGAGAAAAGAAGAAGAAAGTGTAAAAATGTTTTAATGAATGTGCAGAAAATACGAACAAAAGGCTTTCCATTATTTACTTTAGTTGTCTTCGCAAAAAATAAATATACTTTAGACAATATTTACTGTTAATTCTTATTTCATAGAGTACTCCTAAAGAATTATAAATTATTTAAAATAATTATGTGATTATTTTATAGTTAAAAAACCAAGAAATTATTTTCATTTTAAAGATTCAAACTCAATTTAAGTAATATTAAAATGCCAATCATTGGTATCAACAAAAATTATCACATTTCTTTCCTTAATTCTCGTTTTCATAAGCCGACAGTTTCGGAGATGCTGCGATACATTGCACTATACTAGACTTCCAGACAATCAACGTTTTATAAGCTTATGTTACAAGCGTCTGAAGATATTACTTTCGATACATATTAAGAATTTTATTCCTGGGAGAGGGAATAAAATAAGACGAAAATTGCCAAATCTTACAGGTTAATCTTCAAATCTTGTATCAGCTAAAAATGATATTAAGTGCATTTTATAAACTATTGGTATAATAAAAGGAATTCAATAAAGTGGCAAAATTAGTAAAATGCATAAAATTATTCGTCTGTATGTATATATAGCTTTGCGAAAAGGAAGAAAGGAAACTGAGAAGATCTGCAATATGAACATGTGAAGCTGTGAATGATGAAAAAAAACGATATTGCGAAAAATTTTTAAATTTACTGTTACTCTGCCCATTAGCATATTTAAGCAACGCAATTCAACTATTATGTACAAATACTAAGAGTAATTACTAAATCGAAAAGGCAGTATTCTAAGGGTACTTTTCTGTTAACACGGCGCTATTTAGCGCTAAACAGAAACGTTGGCGTGCAATTTAACTAGCTGGCGGCAACTCTCACGATCAGCGAAGCTTCATGAAAAGAATGACTGCTTTATTCAGTAAAGACTAAATACTAAAAATAAAGTAAGAAAAAAAAGGGGATTTCACTTGCAGCTGTCATCGTAAGTGATTTGGTGAAAGCTAGAAAACACTATGGCACCCTTCCAAAAAGGAAAATCCGAAATCATATAACATAATGTACATAATGTGCGATGTCGAATTTGTGTAATTCTCTGATTTTTCTAAGAAAAAATGTCACAGAATTGCACTCTTCCCGTGCAAACAGTGACATCGCACACAACTTCGGCATTGCGAAAATTGCGAATTGGTATTACACATTATATATATATATTATGTTATATGACACATTGTTGTTGTTACACGTTTACTGTTACTGTTATCACATGTTATTGTTATTACTTTTATTACAAGTTTGCCATTTCTGGCGGTGAATCTTCCGATTTTGGCGACTGGCCGAAGTGGCCATTTTAACAAGACAGTATCAAAATATAAAACTAATTTCATCAGATTAATTTCAGATTACACAGAAGGCAAAAAACTGGCAAATTCATTTAACATGTGGAAAACACCTGTTTTTTCATGCAGTCACCACCATATGAATTCGATGAGGTAAGATTCTAGAGAGGGACGACTAGTGCCCCTCTCTAGAATGTTTCTCTGTTTATTTCGTCATTTTAACGACATCGCTTATCAGGATCAATAACGCTGTATGTGTGCATGTCTCTGTATAGTCAGGTTATATAGATGCTGGAGACGTGAAAAATATGCAATGCCCTCTCGCCGGGATTCGAACTCCGGACCACCCGAATACGCGTCAAGTGTGCTTCCAGTCACACCACGAAGGCATGCGGAAAGGAAGGAGAAAACATCTTATATCTTGTAGGTGTTCATATTCGGCAGCTGTCAATTCATCCAGCTAAGAAACTATAAAACTATAAAAGATAATTTCTGGATTAATATTCGTTCTTCCTGCTTATTTGCAACGACATTATTGCTCGGGTAATTATGGCGCGATACAAACAGGCTACGACATTTGTCGATTTGGAGCACATTTGACTACGGGTGCCCCATTAACAGAAAAGTACTGTTATAAATCTTAATAGCTTAGTTATAAATAGTTTAAAAGTGTAATCGATAACGAAACTCATGACAAACCTTTTCAATACTTTAGAGATAACAAAAAATGGATTCTGCAAACGAGGGAAGTCCTCTTTTACATACAGGAGGCCCTATACCCAAGAAGAGAATTCTAAGGAATATCTGCCTAAAAATTCCAGCAGAGATAACAATAACAGGAGTCATAGTAGGGTAAGTGAGTTTTTAAAATTTTATTGGCATGCCGTGCAGTTAACTGATGAACAGATAATACCGAATATTCATTACAGAAGATGCAATTATGACTGACGTTGATATACATTTAAGCGTCTAATTTCATAGATTTCTACTAAAGCAAATGCTCCTCCTTTGCATTCAAATTAGATGTAAATTATCTTAACATGCAATCATTGTTAAATGCTTTAATTTGTATCAGTTCGGCAGAAACAAATAAAAAAATTGTATTAGCATTAATTCTCTTGGTGCAAATAAGCCAATACTTTGTTGGTTTACCTCATATTGTTTTCAATCATACTCGTACTTTCAAGTAATGAGATTTGTTGTGAGACCTTAAGTTTAATAACTCGTTAACAATGATTAAATATCATATATTAAAAGAGACGTGTTATCAGGACTTGCATTATACCGCCCAGACGGATAGTGGTTAGGGGAGGTAAACCGCTGAGTTGGCTTCCGACCCAGGTATAGATATATCCATGCAGAATTGGTTAAGTGGTTAGGGGAGCCTACTGCGGTACCGAAGGGCCCGGGTTCGAATCCCGGAGGAAACATGGATGTTTGTAAATATATAGTGTCTTTGCGGCATGGGGGGTAAATATATGCCAAGCCGAAAGACCTCTCGTGTGGTTTGGTAGAAGGGAAGAGGAGTGGGATGGGAGACCCTCATATCTCTCCCGGGTTGCTCTCCCTCAAAATTGGGGTGGAAGTAGAAGTCCAGCCTCCTTCAGGCTCTGGCAGCCATTCTTTCATGAAATTGATGGGCAAGACAGCAACAACAAGGTTCCTTCCTTTAATGCGTTGAGTACTGGCTGAATAGCAGACTTGCAAACCTGTTTGACTATCTCGCAAAGCATGCAGTAGCATTAAATTGACACACTTCTTTATAGCTACTTATGTGCACTAGTTTTTCGGTTTCAAGAACATGGAGTCCTGGAAAAAGTTCATTCTTATTTTTCTATAATCCTAAGAAGTAAGCTATCGGTCAAAGTGAATAATATTTTTAACATTTTGTTGAATATTTCCGTTTGCATGTCGCTATTATCAACGCTCAGTATTTCCAAAATGCAGTCGTTTTTAACCAGTTTTTAAGAATATATTATGTGTTAAGCGTTTTAAAAATATTATCACTTCCCAAGCGGCATTATGGTTAGTGTCTCTGACTACCGCACCAAAGGGCCCAGTTTCAAATCCCACAGAAGGTATGGGTGTGTCTTTTCAAATGAGGTCAAGAAGGAGAGAATGACGTTAATTACGAAGGGAAAAATAAGCGGGTGTGTTAGGAATCATAAGAGGAGATATACTGTAAAAGAAAAGTTTTTTAGGTCCCATTCAGTGTCAGTATATCAGGAATAAAAACTTGAGTTAAAGAGTTCTCCTCTGTTCTTCACTGTAAGTCAGTAATGTGTGCATGGATGTACTACATGGTACCAGAATGGAGACAAATTATATAGGATGCGAAAAGTTTTGAAGTGCTCTTTTATATATTATTAAACAGTTTAATAATATTAGGATGCATATTTTTGGATTATTAATAACATATATCTCCTTATAAGTACAAGTTAAATTACAATTATCAAATGAATTTAATGGTTACATTTATTTATTTATTAACATTTCTTTATTACATTATTTTCGTTGAGAAATTTCGTTTTTTTTTTTTTTTTTTTTTTTTTCCAAGCAATACCTACATGGTAAGTCACGAGGCTAAAAAGCACTGCTATAAATAAATAATGCCCAATACTAATTCCAGTTGAACAGCAGTAATTAGCCCTAATTGTTTACGGAATGTATCCTAGTTTTTTAAAAAGTTTCGTATCATCTAACATGAAATTAATTACTTAATCATCTTGAGAACGATTTTGTGTGCTTATTTAATTGAATATGGCAAAGCATATGAGGATTGGCTAGGTATTGTTTCACAGAGAATTTTCTAGGGAAAATGGGCTAGTATTTACATTACCTTAAGTCCACGAAAATACTTACACACAGTGGTAGGCTTGTTCAATCCACTTGTTAAATCTGCATCTAATTTTCAGGCCCCCCTTTCTTGTCTAGTTTATCATTAAAAGGGAAATACATGTTACTCATTGAACTTCGCACGTTAGTCTGAATAACCTTTAAACCTGATGAACCTATTTCTGAGACAAGGAGAACTTTCTGACAGTATAATCTATTTTACATTTAACGAGCTTGTGCCGAATACGTTTATTCGCTACTTTATGTAATTTCTGAAATATTTTTAATTCTTATATTTTTTTTTAAATTTCAATGTCAGTTTTATTTTCTTAAAGATATTTTCTTTTTATTCACAAATATTTGTAATTTCTATTTTTCTATGAAGCAAAACATTTAATTAGATTCTGATACTTTGTTTTCATAAGATAAAGTACGAACCCTTTGTTAAAATTTTCATAGCTCACTGTAGTTCAGTGACTGTATTAATATGCCATTTTTTCTTAAATTCAAATGCTTCAAGAATAATTAGAAAAGGACTTAATTCTCTTCTTATCCTTAAAGTCTTCATTAATAAAACTTCATATTTAACTATAATCATGGGAAATAATTCTCCAAATATAATTCAGAGCAGAAAAATTAAGATACATAAACGACTTGGAAATGGAATTGGCATTGAGATTCTTTTTAAGAAATATGATGAAACTTACAAAAAGTCTACGAAGCGAAGTAATTCCGTAAAATATTTTGTAAGTCTTTATGATTAAATTGCACTGAATTATAATAAATGACATTTAAATATAATTTAATAATTTAATGTGTATATGTGGATCTGTGTGGGTGGCTCACTAGCGGCTGAGTGGTAAAGTCGTTGAACACTGGTAGGTCGATCCGGGGTTCGAATCCTGGTGAACGGGATGGATGCATTGACGTTTCCGAGGTTTTCCACATACGTAACGTGTATACGAGTCAATTTTTCTTAGAAAATCCTCCACCGAGGCATCTTTACCTGCTTCAAAACCTTGTAGTGTTCCTCCCTTTTATCTCTTAACTAAGTGTGGAGGAGTGGAGGAACCTAGTGAACTGCTAAGAGAATAATCGCTTAAGCCCAGAAGCAGAAACGTAACACTCAAGAAAGGTTAATTACTCTTTATTGCTCAAACTAAAGATGTACAGTACCCTTTCTCAGAACGTACAACAAAGCCTCCACTTTGGCTTAAAATCGAAAATATAAGAAATAATAACTTAACTAATCACTAACTAAAGAGATGTAGCAGAATTAACACAATCTAACGAGTTGGCCCCTAAATTTCGAATTAGCTAGCAAAGCTTATCAAGGGCCCGTATTACGGCCGAGCGTAGTAACAGCTTAGAGAGACGTGGCCAAAAGGCAAACGCGAGCTAGTCAGAAACTTTGATTCTCTCTCTCGAAGTCAGTGGAACTTCGACTTAAATACTCCTTCTAATTCGCATTAAACGAGATTCTAAAAACACATTCTGGTAAGGAAATTGTAAGCTGAAATTAATAGAGATAGGAAAGAAGCTTTAACTTAAAAATAACTGTTATAAACTTAGCATAAGCCTTAGAACCTAACTAACAATTTATATTGATATTATGTAAATATATTTACTCTAATGAACATTGTATATTAAAGATATTTTTCTTTTATAGTTTATACCTTGTTCCATATTTTGTTCTATTTATATATACTTATATACGTATAGGCATACGTCTATAGCCAAAAATTACATCAATAATGTATTTTTCATTATGATTAACTTCATTCTTAATAATTTTCTGCAGTCTAGTTTGAGTACTTTTATTCATAAATTCTGAATTAAAAGAAATTAAATGTTTACATGGCATTAGAAAATTAACCAAAAAACAGCGACCCGCAACGTATTTGTAATTTGGTGAACGGTCCTTAGACATGAAAACGTTGAAAGCCATTTGAGTTAAGACTATTTTCTAAGATACTCAGATACTTCGTATGTAACATAGCATTCGAAATGCAAAACTCAATATTTGTACTACATATTCATTGATGTAACAAATGTATCTTTCTACTCCTATGCCTTTAAAATAGCTTTACAGTTTATCGTACTATAATCCATTTTCATTGCACAAAATTTTATTCATTCAAAGAATTCAAATTGTTTGCTCATTTTCATCTCTATAAAACTGAATTAAGTAATTAAGCATTAAGAAATTAGATGTTTAAACGGCCCCCACATTTTCCTACGACTCGGAAGCGCTCAGTCATCACTTTTTCAAAGACCCCCGTGTTTAGGGTTGTTGGTAATTTATGACTTGACCTCATATGATTAGCATTCATGGGTGTTTGCAAATGTATAGAGTCTGTGCGGCATGGGAGCCAGTCAAAATATGCGGTGAGTAGGAAGTCCACTCGAGTAGATAACGGTAGGGAAAAAAGGCAGGAAGACCCTCGGACCTGTCCTCCAGGGGTGCTTTCCTTCAAAACTGAGGGCAGAGCTGAACAAAGTCGTGTTGTCACGTGCTTGGTACCCAAGGCTTTTGCCAACGACAGGCACAATCTTGACGCCTTGAAACAATGAATTTCGTAGGCTTGCTCTGATTTCAAACAAGCGAGATTAAGTACAACAACAGCAACAACAAAAGTATTGCTAGTTAGCAAAATATTTCGGGAAACATAAGGAAAATACACCATTAACTGATTTACCCTTTGCATAAAAGGTGAAATATAATCATTTAAAGTTAGTAGTTCTAACTGAGAAAAGCGCGTATTAAATTTGAGTTAAGTGGGTTTTCCAGGAGAAATATGCTTGCGTTTTCAGGTGACAAGTAAAATAATTTCAGTAAACTGAATTTTTAGCTTATATTCAGAAATAAAATGCATCAACCTTTTACTACCTCATGGTAATTCATACTAAACTTTTTACAATTTAATAAAGTGTATACGTTTAATATCATTAAATGAAAACTTTTGCTTTTCAGATTGTTTCTTTCGGTTGTAGCTTTACTGATTTTGTTAGAAAATTTTCACTCTTCTTCTGACAAGGAATTTGTCCTTGATAAAGTGGACGACGGCTTACTTGGTAAGAATTACATTTATAAATTAACTAAAGTTTTATGATACATTGTCTGTCATCTAGGTATGGAGAATGCTTGACTTAGTACCTCTGTGATTACTTAAATGAATCTTTCTTATTTAGGTTCGCCATTTAAGTACAATAAAAAGGCATTAGATAACACATGGCAAGATAAGAAAAATTCTGCGAAATCTGGAAAATACTCAGGCAACAAGAAATGGGATAATGTTGAAAAAGGCTGGAAAAAAATTTCAGAAACAGGTCATTTTTTAATTATAAAAGCATTAATTCCCAGAAAGTTTACAGAAATCTAAATGAAAAGTATACATGCTTTTAAAGGAAAAGAATTCTTAAAGTAGTTTTGTGATAAATTTTGCAGTTGTGCGTTGACTCTGGTTACTCTCTCACATTTTGAGACTGTGTAATATATATATTTACTAATTATTAGTGATTTCAAGAGTAATCTATCATAAATAAACGATATTGTGAATAATAACTAAATATTTTATGTAATCACCTTGTGTCTAATGTTACAGTGGCAGAAGTAAGTTGACTTTTATGTAAGAACTAACTAAATTGTTTTTTCAAATTAGTTTCTTTTAACTTCCTCGTTTAAGAATTTCTCCGCATTTTTGTCAGGTGTTAAATTCACTTTCATAAATATTCATAAATTTTCTTATTTTTCATAAATTCTCTTTTTATGGCATTAAAAAACTTTTCTAAGCTTTATCCTGAAACTAGTGCATCTGTTTTCCTATGTGTGAATAGAAGCAATACGTGAAAAAGAAACTTCAGTGAGTTGCGGTGATTACTTAACAGAAATATTGTTCTTCCATCTTTTACTTACCTTCTGATTTCCCATTCAAGGTCAAATTTTTTAAATAATTTTTACATGATTAAGGAATAAATAAGAATTAGTAACGTATGATATAACTGTGATAAACAATTTAGAATAAACATATCGGCCGTTAACCATTTACAAGCATTTAATTAATCGTGATCAAGATTTTAGAGAATTTTAGTAAATATATGTATTTTATAAGAATGGGAAAACTCTTATTTATCACAATTATGACATTAGCTTGCAAACAATGTACTCAAATTTATATGAAAATTTAAATCTTTTAATATCTTTATGCTCCAGTACTGGGCACATTAAGTTTCTGACATACCTATAGTGGTTTCACCAAAGCGGGCCAATCAAATCTATGAAATTTTAAAAGATAAAATTCGCGTTTTGCTATATGCTCGTACGTCATGCCCATAGAAATCTTTATGCTGCCCTTACTTTCGTAATCGTTGTTCTCATATATATATGTGTGTGTGTATTTATGTATATATGAGTACACACTTCTGAATATACACACATGTATACACACTTCTGTGATTGGAAGTGTATATACACACTCCCAATCACAGAAGTGTTTTAAATGATGCAAATATTTGTGCTATGGCATATTTAAATTTAAAAAGTGAATTTTGATAAAATTACGAATCGGTCCCTCAGTCGCTATACTATCATCCTTAGTAAAAATTTATGTACATTTAAAAAAATAAAATTCAAGACGTTTCGCTCTCATATCACAAAATGTATTCGAAATATTTAATTTCAAAATTTGCCATCTATTTCAATTTGTCGGTTAAAAAATAAATTAGAATAATCCGAGGCTGTTTTATTCTTTTTAATGTCATCCAAAGACATTGTTTTCTGATTACTAATATGTAATATTCTTTAATTTATTACATATGGTAGCAAAACGTTTTTCATGCAAGTAATTTATGAAGTTTTTATATGCTAAAAATTCGTTATAAATATTTTTATGAATATTATTATTTTAAAATCAGAATTTCATTACCAAACGAAAATTCACTAAATTAGAAATATTTTTCATTTTTCATTTAATCAAATAGTGTTATAAATTGGTTGCGTGCGAATGCTGAAACCTATCAATGTTTTTTAGAACACGAATACTGTAAGATTATGTGGATAATTTTTTTAAATATATATAGATATATATCAATATTTTTCACGTCAGTCTACACAGCAATGCTCGTCACTTAATCTATTAACATCAGAAACCTTTTTTCTAAACTGGTATATCAATTTCTCGTACGTACAAGTGCAAACCTTTTGCTCTTCAACTTGTGTACAACTTCTGATTATGATTATAAAATATGTCAGCAAATTTTTATTGCATAGGAGTCAAACCTTCTGTCTTTTATTTTTATGAGTATGAACAATTATCCTACTGACTGAATATTTCTAGAACTTTTTCTCTCGATAGATTCGTATTACTTTTCAAGCTTATAATTTTTTCTTCTCGTCCTGCTTAAAATTATGAGATTGCCTCGATAAGTCATAATATAATATGTATGACTTAATAAGTCGACACACATATATATACAGTTAGATATATATATACGTATTTTTTCATGTCATGTTTTTCAGGTTATAAGATAAATGTTTTCAAAATGATTTATTAATGGTAGAATGATTAAAAGGTGTCCTATAGTTTACACAAGTAAAACAAATGAAATTATGATATTCTACTGAACACACTGAAAACTTTAACCTTACTTTTAGCAAAATAGATAGCCTTGTCATTTCAGTAATCCTAGGTTACTTTAAACTGCTAATATTTACCCTAAAGTTTTAAAACTTATTAAAATCAATACAATAACAATGATTTTGATTACCTTGCCCTTAAAATTCTCAACTGTAAAAGCATCAAGCTTTTTGACAAAAACAAAATCAAAAAATCCTGCTTCGACCACTGTCTAAAGAATCATTAGCTGTAACATTATTTTCGTCATCTAACTTACAAATTTTTATTTTGCGTGCTTGTATCAAATGAATTGTGGTCTAGAATTTTTTATGAAATGTTGTCCATGTTGATGTACTAAATAAAATACCAATTTCAAAATAGTATACATTTTTAAGGAAAAATAAATTTAGCGAAGATACATCTCACTCACTTAATGAACGATTCAGTTATTATGTACCGGAAATACGAAATAGTGTCTTTTGAGTTTTTATTGGGTGAATTTGGTTATGTTACACTTTAGAAATGTAACTTGAATTTTTGCTTATATAAATCTCTATCCTGAGGTTATGGGCATTTTCATCATTGTATAGATCATTTGATGAATTTTCGTTTAGGATCTTTCAACGAGAGCTTCTCTAAATCATCCAGATCACATGTGGATATATTTTCAATGGCATTTGAGTTTTTTTTCACTACAGTTTGTAAATAATTTTGATAATAATATCAACGATATGCACGTTGTTTAATTTATACTACTAATATTAGTCTTAACGAAGAAGGAAACGAATTTTATAGCTCAGCAACATGTGTTTGAAACTCACTACAGTGTATTATTTTTAAAGCAGATTTAATTTATTCATTAAGTAGAGAAAATTAGCTCACATAGCAATATGTATAATTCAATAATATGGCTGTACTGTCAGAAATCGATCGCGACCCGTTTAGTGGTGCGCTTTGTATTTTAAATCTTGTCTGAATTACAGTTATCACTGTGATTTACTGGTTTTCATTTTGTTCATCTGCATATATCATATATTTGTATACACCAATTAATCTGTTCTTCTAATGTTTTGATGTACTGCGTATTGCTCCTAACTTTTATTGTGGCTAAATGTTTCCCAAATTTAGGTTGGCGTACCACAGACGATATGAATGCATTCGATACAGCTCGGAAAGATGGACAAAATCTTCTCAGGTCTCAAATGGACTCTGGTAATATGAAATGGAAGAAAATTGATCGTGGATGGAAAAAACTTTCAAATCGAAGTAAAACTTTTAACTTGTTAAAAGAAGCTGCTTTAAATGCTTTGAAATCTAAAAACCTTACTTGTTCCAAATTTTGTTACTGAAATATGACTGTATTGTCATTCTGCAGGTGTAGCTGCTCCTTCCAGTTGTCCATTTAAGAACGTACACAGTAATCCTCTCTTAGGAGCACCTGTGCCTCAATCTAAAATAAGCTGCGCACTCCTTGCTGAGAAAGCGCGGCTGTCTCTTGGAAAATGGTACGATTTACTATGCGTTTGTTACTTTTAATCACTGTAAAATATATAACAGAATCTGAAAATTGCTTAAAAAATAAGTAGGTTGCGGAATCCATCATATTGTAATTCTCAGTGACATGTGTGATAATTCTACCCATTGATATGAATACAGATAAGAAGCTTTTTGACATCTATCATAAAAAGTCTAGAAACTCTAGAAGCATTGCTCTTAACGTATATTAAGTAAAATAAGTGGAAGAAATGGAAAATTGAATGACAGACTCTTTCAGACTGACTTTCAATAAGCTTTACAATAAAAGATAAATTAATTCTGGTTAGCTTCGTAAATTTTTATCTATTCTTGACTCGTAAGTTGGTACTTTAATGTTATGAAGTCAAGAGGAAATTTAAGTGCCGGAAAAGGCCTGATTAATAGGACTACGTTTATATTTTATAAAAGCTTAATCTTCTAGAGTGTTTTCAAAGAAGGTGATTTTAAATTACAATTCTTATCGAATATATAAAATAAATTAAATCAAACATATATACAGGGGCTCCATTTAAAATCAGACCCTTCTTATAAACAGTACGTTTACATATTGTGAAACGTATTTTTTTAGCAAGATATATTGTAAATAACGCACATTATGTCATGTTCTAAAGACATTATGATGCTTTTCCTATCTACATTCCGAAAGGCAGCAGTGATTTTTCATTTTCGCCCTTTCTAAGGTGTGTGCATAATTTATAAGCACAGTTTGTTTTAATCGCGAGCACAAAAGCAATCTAGATCGATTAGAAACTATATATTGATGGACATAGTCTGTAGATATGACAATGTTATCAAACCTTCATGGTGGAATCTACTGTATGAAGTTTCTCGCCATCGTGCTTTATTTAGGGGAAATTTTCAACCTGTTGTGAAAAGATATTGAAATGCCACGCAGTATTTTGATAATTTTCCAAAGTCCATAGTTTTTAAAAGTACAGGAGACCTAATAATTCATCTCCTTAACATTATATACCACACAATTTTGGCAAGATTCAGAGAAAATCTGATAAATAGGTGCTGATTTTTCAAAGCTCCATATTCGATAATTTTGGCCACAGATATATTTACTTCAATGAAATGACTCAGTTTTAAAAACACCTGATCTAAAAATAGAAATATCCCCACAAGTTAACTTTTTTACAAAACGGTAATCAGAGACGCGACAGTCGATATGACCGTGTTCAATACCTGCTCCCCCCAAAAGACTTGTCAAACATCTTTTTATTTCTGAAAAATTTGTTTTCTCCTTTCCTCATCAAATTAGTTTATTAACCCCTTATATACAAAAGAAAGATAAAGGAAACGAAAAAGTTCTGCAAATAAAATAATGATCAAAATACAATATCCTTAAATGCGCGCTCATCTTTTAAATTAAACTTCTTGTATAGCATCATATTTTTGTTTATCTCATAATCTGTTTATCACCTTTAAAAAGTGTATTCGAATTCTCCCTTGAATATGTGACTTCCTTAATGAACTGAGTATTCATTTATACACTCTGCAAAGAAATTAAGAGAATTTTCATATTTGATCTACGATCTCCAGAACTAGCGGACAGATTTTTAATAAAATTTGGTGTAAACATAGGTTGATATAATACAAACAAAAAAAAAAAAACCTTGAACAGTTATAATAGACACACATGTTCGTATCTAAAAATCATGGGAGTCTGAAGGTCTGAAACAGCGGTTGCAAAAGACACAAAAGAAATGCGTTAATAGGGCGTATGGTCCCCTCTTACAGCCATACAGGCCTCGCAGCGTGATGCCATACTGGAAATAAGGCAGTTTATCAGTGCCTGTGGCAATTGGTCCCACTCATTTAGCAGCGCTGTTTTCAGTTCTTGGGTGGCTCTCGAAGGGAGGTTGCAAGTTGCAATTACCCTCCCCAGAGCATCCCAAACGTGCTCTATAGGGCTAAGGTCTGGAGACCTGGCTGGCCGATCCATCCGGCGAATATCCTTACCCTCGAGAAATTCGTCGACCAGAAGAGCTCTATGTAGTCTCACGTTATTGTCCTGTAAGATGAACACATACATCATCAACTTCTAAGCCATTGCTTCTCTCTTTCTATGCGTATGTATATATATGACTTATTAGATGTGTAAATATATATATATATATATATACGTATAATTCACACATATATTTATATATATATATGTGTGTGTGTGTGTATGAATACAAAAATTAACATTACTAAAAAGTTTATTTGACGTTATTTCTAATTCATATAACGATCATGTAACTGGCAGCGACTGTAGTCAACAGTTCTTTGCACATTATCATGGATATGGAATATACAGTTGTATACAGTTGAAAATAACTGAAGTGCATTTTTGTGTATTATGCTAGTGATTAAAATTCTCCCAGTTACACACAACCTTTGCATTTGTAATTTACATGGGAATTCAAACAAAAAACAACTGAGCAAGAAGCCTTTACGAAATATTTAATATTTTGGGAATAAAATAAATACTCGTATTTTTCACTTATCACCAAACATATATCACTAAATGATATTATATTGTGTACATAAAAGTTATTAAATAAATATATGGATACAAAAATGTTGTTTACAATAATAAAATCAGAAATAATGACAAATCACTGAATGTACGGTGTATTTACAAAATAAGTATTTAAGTATTTACAAAAACATATACAACGGATCATTACAAGAATCGGAGTAAAAAAATATGCAATTTAAAAGTAACAATTAATGTAATAAGCACATGTCATTTTGCCAAGGTATTCAGCCAACAGTATTAAAATAATTATAAAATATATTTTGTATATACACGCAATTTGAAATCAAACGTCTCTTTCACCAATCTGAGCGATAACTTATTCCTGTTTGGATTTCAAGTCTGTTTACCAAGTGATGGTTTGGTTTGGTTTATTAGATTACGGCAAAGCATTCGAGGGCTATCTGCCTTAAAGGTGTGTGTGTGTGTGTGATTATGGCAAACCCTCGAGGGCTATCTGCCTAAGGGGATGGATGCCTTCGTGGAGGACTTTCTAAGGGAAACTGGCTCGTATACACGTTACACAAGGGGAAAACCACGAAAACGCCATGCAGCCAGCCCGTTCGCGGGATTCGAACCTCGGACCGAACTACCAGTGTTCAGTGACTTTACCGCTCGGCCGCTGGTGGGCCCATCTGCCTTAAAGGAGGGATGCCTTTGTAGAGGACTTTTTAAGGGAAACTGGCTCGTATACACGTTACTTCGCGGGATTCGAACCTCGGACCGAACTACCAGAGTTCAGCGACGTTACCGCTCAGCCGCTGGTGGGCGTTTACCAAGTGAAGATGGTAGCTCGTTTTCGTGGAAACGCAGCTCCGAGAAATGTCGTTGTCGTGTTCCGTTCTATCAAGAAACATATGATAGATCTGTGGGCAAATCTGAAGGAATAGTTTCCTCTAAATCATAGCCTTTAATTCATTCAAGCGTGCATAAGGAACCCTTTCACCTTTTGTGTAGACTCAGAGACGCAATTAATGAATTCAGATATTAAATCAATAATTGAATTGTCTTGCGATACAGCGCTTAAGAATATCTTCGACAAAATACCATTGATAAATTTTTGGCTATCCTGTTGTCAAGAGTATCCATTTTTGACACAAAAGGCAATTAAGCTTTTAATGCTTTTTGTTACAATTTACAAATGTATAAGAGTCTTCTTAATATTTGTTTTTCTAAAAAATAAATATAGACACCAATTAGATGTCGAATCGGGTTTAAGAATAAAGTTGTCATCTTTTTCTGTAGACTTGAAAGCTCTAGTTAACGAGAAACAACGTCACGCTTCCCATTAAAGCGTTTTTATTGTTTTACATTTATATTGTTTTATTGTTACGTTTCACAATAAATAAAAAATATTTGAACATTAAAACATTTGTTTAATTTATCAATAAGCCATAAATATCTTTGTTGGTCATGAATGAAAAGTATTAAAACAACTAGGTCAAGGAAAAAAAAGACTTGAAGAACTCTAGAATACTCCACCCCAATTTATTTGGGAGGATTCTCAAAATGAAGGAAGAGTATATTTTTCGAAGTCGAAACAGAAAACTAGAAAGTCATCAAAATTTTCTTTAAATCTTCTATTTATCTATAAAAATTGTCAAAAAGTGTGAGGAAAGTAAGTCCTGGATAAATTCATGTATATTGACGCAAAGTAGTAAAAATGTCAATATCTTAAAAGCAAAGATATGTAAAAATTTATAAGCAGAACAAAACAAAATAAAAAGATACTTCGTGCTTCAAAATTTAACTAATTTAGTTCATCGGTTTATCAGCTGTAAAATAAAACTTCTTGAGTTCTTCAGGTATAAACCGAAACAAATTTATTTCATCGTATATAAGTATCATTTCTCATTTCTTGTCTAATATATATAGAGAGATAGATAGATAACTTGAGATTGGCGAAGATTAGAATAAAACCTCGATTATTTTATCCCCAAAATTTATGCTAATCTAAGGTTGTTTTTATGCCTAATTTTAAAACATATTTATTTCATAAAGATAACTACTTGTAATTAATTACACTGTCAAGATTTTAATTATCAAAGTACTTCTTTGCGTCATATATTTTTTTAATATGAACAAAAAAATAAATGCTTGCATAGTAAACCAAATTTACAAAAAAAAGTTATGAAATATTATCTTAAGGGGCTTGTAACTGTTGTAACTGGTCTTGATCTATGCCTTATGCAACTTCCCCTATATTGTTTTCTCTTACAGATATTCAGGATTAGTGCTAAACTTCGTATAATTATAAAAAAAAAACTAGAAATCTATCTGAGAACATTGTTTGTTTGCTTTCGTTTCGGTATATTCCGAGAGAATTTTTACATTTGTGGATTTTATTTTTAGTAACTTATTATGGCGTTTCTGAATTACTGCGGTTAGAAAACACCTTATAGTTTAATAGGTGTATTGTAAAAGAACAATTTCATAGTAAAATCTTAAGGGATCTCTATAGAAAGAAAATAATATGCTCAGTAAGAACCATCAAAGACGGCATTCTATACTTACCAGCAATTCAATACCTACAAAATTTCTGGCATGTAGTTTCTTTTTAAAGATGCTGTAATGGCAAAGTTGCAACAATTTAGCATCCTAACAAGACAGAAGTATCAAATGCCTTCTCCAATGTTCAAATTGTCTAAACTTTATTATCATCTTGTCAGAAGATTCAAGCCAATTTTAAAATTTTCATTCTTACATTATAAATTTAATTTCAGCATAGACCTATCATTCTTACCGAAGCGGTGCAAACCAACGTGGAGGCAGAAATGTTTCACCACATATAAGTATCGAAAGATTGATGGATCCTGTAATAACCTAATACATCCTACTTCGGGAAAAAGTGGAACACCGTATGTAAGAATGGTTGCTCCAGATTACGGCGATGGTTTGTATCTTATTTCAGTAAAATTATTTTTAACATTTGTATGGGCTTTTATTATTTCTTTTTTAATATGTATGAGTAGTGATCACAAATAAAGTATAACAAAAATTATAAAGCATTAGCATGCATCATGGCAGGCCACAAAAAGAAAACAAAACCTTTTTTCCCTATGGTATACGTGCTCTTTCTGGGGAAAATGTTTGTAAAATGGTAATTATGATATTCGCTTTAAAAATGGCCTGAAAAATCACAAGAATTGAATAACAGCTAATTTTGAAGTTGATTTTTTATGCCTATTTTTCAATTCCTTCCAAATCCTACTAACCAACTGCGATAGAAAATGGGAAGCGAAGTTATGTTAAAAGAGACGGGAATGGAAAAAGTAGCAACTCTAGCCGCTTCTGTTTTCTCCCTGCAGAACGTGTCAGTTTTCTGAAGAAAGGATTCTGCAATGTGTTTTGCTCAGAAAGTTATTGCGTGCTTTGGCATACATCTAATTTAATTCTACCATTTAAACCTAATTTAGAAATAACTGGATTTGTGTTTACTGATATTCATTGCAACACAGTTTAAAGAGTTTTTAAATATTAATTTGCTTCTTCTTTCTGAAACTGAAAAATTTGCTGTTGAAATCAAATTACGTATAAATTTGCTAAAGCTAAGACTGCTAAAGGGCAAAATCTCAGATTTTCACAATCTATAAATATTTTATAGATTTTTACCCTGTTTTGGAGTTTTGTTTTCCCGATATGAAAACAGTCTGTTTCAATGTTTCTATTGTCTTCCCTTTTTTCAAAATCAATTAAAGATCTTTTGATTGTAGATGTATTGGAATTCTAGTAATTCCAATTTTTTTTTTTTTTTTTTTTTTTTTTTTTTTTTTAATTTTATTTTCGAACTTCTAAACATTTTATTTGAAAATGCTAGCTCTCGCTTGCAAATTTGGGATTTATGCTGGTTATTTTCCTACATTGGATAATAATAATAATAATAATAATAATAATAATAATACTTGCGACACTATAGGTAATAAGGAATAAATTATTTCTAAATCCTTGTAAGTTATTAAGAAAACTAGTAACACGTCAAAGGCCTATTAATTTTTATTGTTGAAATTTGTGGAGACATTAGATTTCTTTTTTTATGAAGAAATCCTCACTGCCCTCGCCAAGACTCGAACCCTGGACCACTCGAATACCCGCCGACTGTGCTACCACAAAGGCATGCTGGAAGAAGGAGAAAATACCTTAAAAAGTTTGAAACTTTTAGAAAAAGATTCTACACTTTACTTTTTTGTTTGGAGCTAGTTAATAATGTCACAGTAGAAGGTTTATTTTATTTTATGGATTTAATTATTGTGCTCTTTGATTTATGGTACATTACGGGGATGATAAGGAATTTTATACAATAATAATTAAACATTTAAGAAACAATTGGTTCAAAATTCCTTATGCATAGCAGGAAAGACTTCAGTAATCAATTCTTCACTAGAGTGATAGATTTAAAATCTGATAGCCCATGTCAAACATTCAATATAGTAAGAGTTCAATGGTAATCAAGTTTCAAGATCCATATCTACAACGCGTTTATCATACCAACTTTTATACTATTAACACTTTAATAATATTTCATTGAGGAAAAAATAACAATTTAGCTCTATTTACCTTGTTTTGCCGAAACTATCTTTGCCTTTCTACGTTCCATGGTTGGAGTAATGAATGAAAAATTGGAAGTAGTAAGGGATTATCAAGACTTTTAAACATTCTGCCTAAACACGATAAAGGTAGAGTTATTAAAACATAAATTAGTGAAGGGCAGTTTATGGTTTTCTGAGAATATTAGTTTCTTTCATTATTATTATAGCAAAGCACTGGAAGGATACTTGTTTTTTTTTTTACTGTGGTATATTGAATGCCAAATGTTTTCCTTTTGGTCTTTCGTATCAAAGGTGATCTATCTGAAATGGGTAAGTGTGTGTAGTGGCTCGAAATTCTCTCGGAACAATTTAAATAGAAATTAAAAATAGGAATTATTTACTAAAAAACTGAATCATTCAGGACACTCGGCAGATCAAAAATGGTAGAAGTACTTAACTGAAATCACCATTATGAGGAAAATGTTGCATTAAATGTTAAACGCGAGACATATTGAGAATAAAATATTGTTTTGTTTTATTAGCCCTTTTCTATCTCAATCCTTAGTATGATTTATTGAATTTTGAAGTAGGATACACAGAAAATTGTTAACATTGGCCAACGTTTCTATGATCTTAAAGGTAAAGAGAAAGAATATCTTTTATAAATTACTTTAGATGGTTATGTACATTTATGTGATAAGATATAATAAGAATTATTTTGTATTATTCTTTACAGGAGCGTCATCCATTCGAACTTCTTCCAGTGGAGGTGAACTTCCTAATGCAAGATTTTTGAGTCAGAAATTATACTCAGAAAAAATGAAACCTGATAGTGAGGCTACGATTCTGTTTCTGAATTTTGGATTACTTATAGATCACGATATGGTACAGACAGCAATTGATACAAGTAAGATATTTAGTTATAGTCATTTCTGCAATCTAATTTGCTTAGGAGGATGCAGATTTTATACAAAGCAATCACTGAGATTTTATCTTTAGAGGAGGGCTTAATTTTCTTTGTTCTTATCTTTCTTTTAACTAGTAAAAGTTTCTTTTTAAGAATCAAATATTTTATTGCTATATATATATGTGTGTGTGTGTGTGTAATGATGCAATCACTTTTAAGAAGTTCCAGACAGTTTTCTTCACTTGAAACATTATTTTGCAAAAAACAGCAGCATATTTTAGAAAATCATAATTACTCGTAGCATAAAAATGCATAAAAATAGAAAAGATGTAAAATAGATGCCCGTGTTGAAATTTAGATCCTAAAAATTTATATGATTTTCCTAGGCAATAAAAAAGAGAAGATTATGTGGCTCGAATAGCTTTAAAAATGATGGAGTTATTTTATTTCTGAACCGAGGGACAAAATATCGCTTCATAATTACTCGGTAGTTAAACGTTTTAGCATCAATACTAAAGAATAAACTATATCACATTCATAGTTGCTGTTACGTAAATATGTGCATCATTTTCGTTATATAATAATCATCATTATCATAAATTTTGTAACGTATATTTATGTAAAATAAAACATATGTAAAGTAAATTTGTAATTTTAAGTGGCAGTAGCCCCTTAATTCTTCATTTGAATTTGAGCATTTCTTCTTTTCGAATAATAGTAAATGCTTATGCTAAATTATGTCATTTCCAAATTAATCCATATCGAATGATCATACATAATGCTGCTAATACAAATACGCTGTAGCCAGTCACTTTGATTCGAAATTGACACTGTTTAAGGGAACTATAATTTTTTCTTCTGTCCCAGGCTTTCTTTTAAATGCGTCAGAAACTTTCCTGCTTTGTTTGCCTCGAGCCAACATGTCCTCGCTTTCATCTCTATTTAATGTAAAAGGCACAAAAATTTCATGATGAATGGATGCACAATGATGTGTAATTCATAATATGCTCCTAAAGAATTGCTTTGTCCAGAAAGTGTGCTCAGTAGTCAAAAAGCCTGTGTCTTGACTGCTACTACGCAAGTACACATTATACATGCCAGTACCATCTACAAACATTGGCCATGATTGAAATCTTGTGCCTTAAATTTAATATCGCATCTTAAATTGGAACATGTAGGTATATGTTAATCTGGGATGTGTAAGTGTATATATATATATACTCACACACTTATAGCTGTTGAGACCCAGCGAAGAAATCTCCCTGAGAATCTCTTATTGTAGCAATCACCATACAAAATGTCAATATAAATATGTAATAAACATTTATTTAACTAAAATTAAGTAGGTAATATGATTTCTAAAACAAAAAAAAATCATCTTAAGACTAAAGAAAAACAACTTTCATCAAGCAGACAAACATATATTTAAAACGCTTATTAAATTTGTTTTTGCGAGCTTCGACTTCTGATAATGCTTTTAAAGCTCCATCAAAATGATCAAATTCATCAAAATTCATTCAAAATTATTTTTCATCAAATTTTTAGCTACTACAATTTCAGTGGAAAGTATTTCCAAACCTTTATGTCTTACTTAGCTCATTTGTTGACCGAAGATAGCTTTTAACAAACTTCAAATTTGACAAGCTTCTCTCACCAGAAGGAACTGAAGTATACACTATCAAAAAAGTCTTTAGTGTTAATATTATATCTTAACAGTTTAATTTCTGGTAAGATTCCATTTTCTTCTATCTCATAAAAAATTTCGGCAAAGCTTGAAACTAACTTTGGAAATCCTTTAATTTCTGCTTCAATAAGGTACATTGATTAAACGGCTGCAAATTTGTATATATTTTCCCAACGATTTTGTCCTAGTTGTAAGATACTGATAGAAAGTATCGATGGATTGAAATAGTATGTATCTTTCTAATTCTTGTTTCAGTGTCAAGGTTTCATGTCTTAGATCTTATCCTGGCATCATAGTCTTAAGCCTGTTTGGTCTAATCGTTTACTGGGTATGCCCATTTTTCACAACTTCTTATAGAAAATATTAACACATGTTCAGCCAGTTCATCTCCGCTCCGTTCCAGAAAATGTTTTAAAGCAGTTAACTTTTGTACGGTTTTATCCAAAGCAATTCCTTTAGTCTTCATGTATTTTGCGGGTATGGTTCACTTCGTCAAGAATGTTACACCACAAATGAAGATAACCGAGAAAGTTGAAATCACATTTTTTTAATTAAACATTGAGCTGAAACTCTAGTATCTACTTTTTTGTTTCATACATTTTTTTACAGTTTTCACTAAGCTTTAAAAATATTTCGTCACAGGTTTCACTGCATCATATTGCTCAATCATTTTGAAGTTACCCCAACAATCACTAATAATATATCTTTCTTGTGAGTCGATAAAGAGAAGAAGTTGTAAACGTTTTCTAGTGTTTTAAAAAACGTTAGACAAGTTGGAACACTTCCAAATGCATGCACCCCGCATAAGTTAAGCGAGCGATTAGCGCAAGGTACAAATAAAGATTTCTTATTACGCTAGAGCTTGACTTGTACCCTAGAGTAAACACCTGCCATAATGGAAACGTTATCATAGATTTGACTTCGACAGAAGTTTACGTCCACTAGTTTTTCATTAATGACATTTTCATACATCATAAATTCCCTGTATGACGTCAACAGCCTTCTCTCCAACAAGGAGGAAAAGTTTCAAAAACGATTCTCGCTTCTACTTTTACGTTTTCAGTGTGAACATGTCTAATAATATGGTTCAATTGATTCTGGTACGATGCATCAGGTGAACTATCAATCATTATTCCGTGATATTTCGCGTTTTTGATCGCTTATATGACTCTTTGCTTCTAGGGTAGAAGTACGAAGTCATGTTTCCTGATCTATACTGCTGGATTTTCACTAAACATTTTTTTAGAGAGGGTCGTAATGTGAGATTAATTCAATTAACTCTAAAACTTTTCCTTGTTTTCTGAAAATTGATACTCTTTGTGACCTCGAAATGGTATGTTTTGTCTTGCTGAAAACATGGGATGTCCAATAAGTGATGCAAAATATCATTCCACCTTTTTTCTTTCCATTTCTAGATTTGCTTGATGAACAACATCAATCGTTTTAGTAAGCTCTAGCTTGCCCCTAAAGTTTTCTGTTTTTTTAAGATTGTTTAATTTATCGTCAGAATTCTTATGTTGCGACAGCTTAGAGTTCAGTTTCCACCAGTTTCGGAATTCCGTAATAAATTTCATATACCAGCACTTCTTTGTGATGAACAGTCAAGAGTCTGCAACAAAAGCATATAAGTATTTTCTGCCTATTTTCCGCGAGCCTTCGTGGTGTAAATGGAAGCATATTCAACTCGTATTTGAAAGGCTCGAGTACTGACGAGGGCAGTGCACATATTTCACGTCCCTTCTTCAACAAAACCTAATGACTCTACAAGCAAAATAAGCTTTACTTGGATGGGAAATAAACCATTCACTTTCTGAGAGCATTTTTACCATTTTGAAAGTGTCTGTAAAACCAATGTTTCGCTAACTGGCGAGTTTGCCCTTTTATACGTTCTCCTACTCCTGCTCTTTGTATCACTTTAAATGGTCTCTCTTGTTTTGGAAATTTTCTTTTTTTAACGTCAATTCTAAGGCCATCTGATAAAGGGATAGGCCAATTTTCACATCTTAGCCAACGAGCAATGCATCAATTCTATCTGATAAATCTTTCTTTTTTTTTTTTTTTTTTTTTTTTTTTTTTTTTTTTTTTGTTGTTGTTGTTGTTGTTACAGTTCTGAACCGTCATATTGTATATCAGTTTGCTGGAATAATGTTTTGATGTTTTCGAAGTCTTGTTCACAAATATTAAAATCTTTCCTCTCGTTCACAAATCTTAACATTATTTACTCTCTTCTTAAGAAGCTACAATGGAACAAACTGATGTTTCTAGATCAGTTTGTTCTATTACAATTCTAGAAGAAGAAGAAGATTCCTTCTGGTCTTTTGGTTTAGGCAGGTGATGGAGAAATTTCGGTAGAGATCCGTTCAGTGCCTCGTTCTCTTGTTATCTAGTTTTCTTAATTTTTCTTTTTCAAGCCCCGCTGGGATGATGCCTCTTCATTGTATCATATTTGAGAAGGAAAGAAATAACTAAGCAACTTCAAGTACCCTAGGTATAAAATTTGTTAGGCTTTTAAATAGCTGAGTAAGTACGATGTAAAGCTCCTAAAAATATTTTCTAGTGGCAGTATACAATGGCGCCAAGAATATATTGTCTAGTGGCAGTATAGAATGACGCCAGGAAAATATTATCTTAATAGTAAGGTTTACTTTTAATGGACCTCATATAACAAGCTTAAATGCTATACGTCCGATGTAAATACTTTCTTCCAGATATTGAAGTTTCAAAAAATGCAGTATTATAGCTTTGGAAGCCTGTACATGGACAACTGATTACTTTGGGAGAAAATGTGCAGGGCCTTCACCGGGAATCGAACAGCGGACCTCTGGAAAACGCGCCCAGCGTGCAGACCACCACACCACGAAGGCATGCTAGGAAGGTGGGAGAAATAGCTTATAAAGCAATAAAAAATACTGATCACTTTAAATGGTCTCTCTTCTTTTGGAAATATTCAAAAGTGTATATTAAGTGTAGAGTCTTAAAAAAGATACCATTTTTAAATGAAAAAATAAAAGTAATTAATAATACATTTTGAGTTGTATTGATACATCTAATTTTTCATACTCAAAAAATTAAAAGCATTTAACATTGATTACATTTATTTTATTTTTTATATGCAGCAGGTCTGAAATAACTTTCTACACTAGCCAAAGGAAAGTTTATAATTTGTATAAAATAAATAGATTCTATACAAGTCTCGTATGTGTTACCAAATAATTATAATTATTTTCGCAAATATAATTTTACTGGCAAATTAAGCATGAGTTTTAATAACTTTGATATTATTTATAACATTTGAATTTTTTTGGCAATTTATGTGCTATTACAACACCACATTTCATTCACAGTTTTGTCAAAAATTTAGATCACAGATGAATAGTCTTATTTCAGTTTTTAGTCATTCAGAGCTCCTTTGGCTAATCTATAGAAGCATATCACTATGCAGAGTTTATGCACTGTTTATGGTATGTTTTGCATACTTAAACGTTTTCATTGGTACCTAATTAGTACTTTAAATTTTTTTTGGGGGGAGGGGTTCTTCTAACAGCTTTCCAATTGACTTTTTAACTTCCAATTACACAGTTGGATTCTTCTAAAACCCAGTCTGAATTTTTGACGTCCAGTTACATAGATAATTCCTTCAAAACTCAGTCTGCGTTTTCCTTTCTGTTACTTAAACGCAGTTTTTGTATACTGCTCACATGACTGTGGTCACTTGAACACTGGGATATTCATAATTCGATATACCGTATCAAGATATAATATTGGAGGGGGGACGAAGATTTATTCAGAAAAATGCTAAGCTAACAGAGAACTTTTATTTGTTTACTTAGGTAACATGCTTGCCTAAAATGAAAGCTTCAGTTCTGAAAAAAAGAAGGCAGTAATTTAATTATCCTTACACATTCTATGTTCCTTTTATATTTTATGTCTTAGAAACTTATGTTAGAGCATTTAGGTGTGTTTTAATAAAACAAAAATTCTAAGTAAGAAATTTAAAAAACGAAATCTAAAGTTTTCTGTTCCCACACTTTTGACTTACATTACTGTGCATGATCTTTTGGGGGAAAGTGGAATCCCTTAATATCAATAAGCTAGTAAATGAAACACAATAAACATATATAGAATGCTGTTCTCCATTTAAAAGAGTATGAACAAATACAATTTACTAAGGATGATGATATATCTTCAGCCGTAAATATAATAGGGAATTTTATTTAGGAATTCCCTGAGACCTCAGTATTATTTCAAGTAGTCTTTCAAGACAGACATCGTAAGGAAGGTTGACATGGACTGCCATGGTCATACAGACCAGTTCTTTGTATGATACTTACGAAATTAATCCGGACGGCATCAAATAAAATTTGCAATTTGGCTGAAGTTAAAATATTATAATATTTCTAATAAGAATAAGCTTTTCTTAACATACAGAGTTGAAAATATATGAGAAGGAAAGATTATACATTTCAGTGTTTATGCATCTGGATGTAGCCTTAATTTGTGCATAATTTAATGTGCAGTACAAAACATTTGCTTTGTTGATCACTTTTAATCTATTAATTTGAAGCAATATATTATGCCAAAAAGTATTTAAGATCTGAAGGCCAAGAGTGCATTGGAAAGTTCATAATTCATGAGTAATGAGTTGATAACAGAAGGAAATTCATAAAAATAAAAATCATCTAATTGGTCATTTTAGATTCATCACTCTAATTAAAATAACGGAATATCTTACATGACACTTAAAACTAAGTTAACTATTCACTAATTTTAAATAACACTCTTCTTATTTCAATATATTTTATAATTGTCTTTTAACCAAATAGTTACCATTCTTTGTGTAAAGAGTTTATATCGTACCCTAAGCTTTCGATCTTCATAGATATATATCAGACCTAAACACTTTGTAAGGTCCCTCCCTTGAAATTCTAAGTTAATGTTGGAAGTGAGGAACCTAAGAACTGATAAGCGAATAATCGCTAGAGTTCGAAGACAGAAAACAACAAGAGAGAAGGGTAAATAACCCTTTATTATTTCTATAAGATTTAACAAGACTCCGCCTGGGAGTGAACAAATAAAGTCCACACTTTGGACTTGAACTTAACAGACTAAGAATTAAACTAAAACTAAGATTTAACTAAGTATAGCCAAAGCTATCAAGGTACAATGAGAGTGGCCCTTAACCTATTTTTACTACGAAGCTTAGCAAGGGCCTGAGTACGGCTGAGCGTATAACAGCTTGAGAGAGAGAGCGGCCAAAAAGGCAGACGCGCGTAGTTCAGAAACTCTGTTTCTCTTTCTGTCTCGGTAAGTAACTTCGTGGTTTAAATACCGCTCCTTCTCGTTATATATTCAGCAAATTCCAAAACTACGTTCTGGCCGGAAGTAGTAAGTTGAAGTTAAAAATTTGACAGGAAAGGAACTTTAACTTAAAATTTAACTGTTAATAAAATTAACATAATTCTTACAACTTGAATTTTATAGTTTGAGACAATTTCGAACGCGAACTATGTTTTATATAGATATGTGAAAACCTTAATGGGATTTGTTTTAATAAACATAAGGCGTCAAAGAGGTATCTCCTCATTGATAAATACATCAAAATGTGTATATCGAAACAGATATGCAAAAATGTACTGTTTTTCACGTTACTATTGAGAACAAATAAAATTTCCTCTTTTTATTCAAATGGTAAAAACTTTTGACGATTTTTTTCGTTATATAATGCGATCTTTTAATTACTGTAAACTGGTATATTTATAAAAGAGTGTAGTTAACTCGGACTTTGAATCTTTTTGCTTTTCTTCCTTTGCAGAATACTGATTCCCTATACAGTTAGTTTTCTGACACCCAGAGCTCATTTTTCATATTAAAAATACGATACTTAAGTAAGGCAATTTAGAGTTTAAAATTACATTTAAATATTGGGTTGCTTTCCAGAGTTTCGTTTCCGTGTTGTTAAAAATATTTTGAAATGCTTACATTATTTAGAAATTTGATAGAAAACGAGAATAAAATGTCAAATGGAGCAAAATGAAATTGTGGCATACTTAAATGAACCTATTCTAGATTTAACTGTGGAATGATTTTAATCGAAAAATTGTTATACACTAGTTTGGAAGAAAGTTCCACTCAGTCAGGACGACTTAACTGCTAAACCTTTTATCCCGATCGTGTTTCTTCTATAACGTTTAAGGATGTCGAAACTATCTAATTAACTGCTGCTCCTAATTGCTAGCTCTTTAATCTAACATTTGTATGTTGGGGAATTTTCTTCTTTGCTTAATTAGACTGTGGACTGAAGACACCGCTCAAAATGTAAAACTTAATTCAGATCTTTATTTTCTTGCCCCGCTTCTGAATTTAATTTAGAATTTAACACAAGAGTATGCCTTCTTGATAAGCAGCTTGCTAACACTTACAGCATATTAACTACTTACACTTGCAAACATCTACGTAAATATGCAACCTATCTGTATCGGTCATATTAAGTCTAGTTGTTGTTCAACACCTACAAGGTGTGCTAAATTTACAGCGTTCTCATCTGTTCGAATCAATGGCTTTTGTGTTCTATAGGTAAGCAGAAGTGATAGTAGCAACCTCGTCTCTACTCTAAATCACGCCGATTATTATTCTTCCTCTGTCTAAACTACGTCGTGAGCCCTAAAATTTGTATAATGTTCCTTGACTGAGAGAGTAAGAGACAAACGAGACATAGAAGAAAGAATCACCTTAATTTTAACTGTTAGTAAAGCTTAAATGTGCATTAATTTTGAAAATTCAGTCTGGGAAAATAGGTTGTAAATTTTCAAAGTATATCTTTCTTGTTACTCTGTTGAGTGATCATGCGAGCAGATATTTATTTGTTATTTTAGTTGCATTCCCTCTGCATTTAACCTAGCTTAATTTTTTTGTTTAGTTTCTTCCTTCATTTGCAAATTTGCAACTTCTCGCAATTAATCTATATAGTATTTACCCTGTATTTTCTTCATTGTAACTCGTTTAAATCCACGATTTCAGTAGTTTTCTAAAAGAAAGCTTTATATTAATAAAGGAGTTGGTTACTAATAAAAGTCTGGAATATAATACTCATCATATTTTGATTAAGATAATTAAGTCAATTAATGCATTTACTTTATTGTGAGTCCATTAATTTCTTTCTGAAGACTAGGGTTAAAAAAATGTTCCACTAGCTGCAGTTACTGTATATTTTTCTTTAGATTTATGTAATCATTGATATTCAGTTACATTAATGATATTTTATATTTGTATTTACATAGAATATTCTAACTGTCAATGTTTACAAAGTAAAAAAATTGATTGAAGTATTCAAATGCAATAAAACTTGCATATTTTTAGATGGCATTCCCTGCTGTGATCTGGAGATTCAAAAATCATCTGAGAGCCTTCCAAAGGAGTGTCTTCAAATAGATGTACCTGATAATGATCCCTTTTATGGTCCAAGAAATGTTAAATGTCTAAATTTGGTGAGGTCAATTCCTGTTCATGGGCAATGCATTGGTAAGTGCAAAAGTAACTTCTGTATTATTCTGCAGACATTTTGTAGCACCTACTAAATTTCAGGCTAGAAAAACCTCATGATTTCACAGAAGGAAATCTATTACTTTTCACCAAAGTGCTCAAGGAACAGAATTACTTTCGGTTACTAAACTGTAAAATAAAAATTTGATACCGAATTTTAGAAATTGATAGTACTGTTTTGTTGCTTTTAAGACAAATGAGTTTAGTTTCTTTCTAGTATAACTAACAAAATCAATCATGCATACTTTTATTAAAAATTAGTCATAAAGAGTATGATTACACTGTTAGACATTAAAATTTCTACGCTACGAAAGAAGGGAAGAAACCTAAAATTAACACTTGCGGTATAATATGCTGGAATATGTAAATTATTAGCATTTCATGGCATGCGCACATTACAGCAGGAATAATGACACCATAAAATAACGCAAAAAGGAGACTGAAATGCCAATTTTTTATCCAAAACTTGTCTTTAGTGTTGTTTGTTGTCTTGCAGATTGTGTTCTGCAGTTTGCAAGACGAAAATCATACCAGCACGTTTCAGAACTCGATCGCAGTAGAATCCATAACCCTCCGAGAAGGAAGACTATCTTATCGTTGATTGAGGATTATCATGCTGTGCGCGTTGATCGACATCCAGTTACTGTTATGAGAATTTACAGTCGATAGGTCCAGGAAAGCCAAGCTTGACGATATGTGGTATCTCCACTGTCCTCTGTCCCAATCCCTGAGACAACAGATATCTTATCCGAATCGAGTTTAGCTATTGTACTGTCACATTTCGTAGCCTTCATGAGAATAACTGGACGTTTTGCATGGCGCTAAGTAAACCTCATGTACAGTGCTACAACCTTTCAACGTCACGGGTTGTCAGCAAGGCGACCATTGTTTTAGCTTCTTCTGGAGCTGCAGCACAGACCTCAGTGCATATAATGGTGCATTAAACGACATACCAATGGTATGACAGCCATTTTTGACCAACTCCGCTTTTGCTTACAGCATCATGATGGCCATATATCTGCGTGGAGGCACTGTTGAAAATGAACGACAGGAATTTGTCCTCTCCATCTATATTCTAGCCTAGAACCTGCACTGGTAATAAGAGGTTTCATTGTTCAGTCAACCTATTCACTGTAAATTCACATAGCTAGTATATTATCGAGCCGCCATTAAACAGCTGAGGTTTTAATGTCCATGCATGTGCCATATTTTTGTTGCCTTCGTCCACTCTCCTTTCAACAAAAAACAACGTAAAATCTCATGTTGCCCATGTTGTCCCTCGTTTCACCAATTCACAAATAGACTCAAATTGAAGCATGGAGGAACGCAAGATTATTTACTATAAGGTGTCGTTCCCGCATATTCTCTATCTATACATGTGGAAACCATTATGCATACATTGAAGTTTACTGATGACCGTACAGGTACGCTTACAGGCCAGGCCAGCACCCCTATAGTGACAGAGGTGATTGAGGTATTGCTGAACTTAGCTTCCGCCCCAGTTTAAAGGAAGCCGTGACCAACTACAATATATCAGGCCAACTTACTGTATCGGTGAAAGCATGTAACGTCTTCAAACTTGGGGTTACGGCATGAAAGCCGACGTCTCCATTAGTTGTATTGTATCACGACGTGTCCTGCTTTACGAATTTCTGTTGCTTGTATTATGTCTTCCTCTCTCTATATATTATATATAGCAGTTTATATATATATATATATATATATATATATAGCCCCTTATAGGCCAGAAAATATTTTACCCTAGTGTGAGGTAGTACAAAATTGTAATGAAAATTACAAATGGGCACACGCCAGGTGTACAAAATCATTATTTGGGCTATATGTGACACGTTACTAAACACTTATTAAAAAAGGAAGCATGATTCATGTAGGTCTAATAATTTAAGTAAAAACTGAAAATTTCAAACTTTCAATAGTGATCATATTTTTGCTCCAATGAATGTATATGAATTTTATTTTACCTGATCTGCCCCAAAAGCTGCACATTAAATTATAAAATGTTTATGGGCTTACGTAATTCATTAATGTGAATTAATTTTTATGGCTGTTTGGAATTTGTATTTGCCAAAACTTTCTGTTTGCATTAATAGTCTATGGTAAGAATTCACATGTCACTTGTTTATTAATAATCCTTTATTAACAACTATAATGAAAATACATTTTAGAAACTGTAACTCTATAATTTAGTTATTCTTCTATACTACATTTTTAACATCTAATTTAAAACATAAGAGAGTCTCTGTTAAAAAAAATCCCACTGTTTAGTTTAAAAACTTCCTAAGAAAAAAATTTTTAAATGCCATAAATGTATAACTTAGCAACGAATAAAGACAAATGAACTTTACTCTTATATATACGCACAGAGTGTCCAGCAAAGGATTCCCTGATATCAAAATTAAAATCTCGAAAACAAAGATCGATAGAAGAATACAACATGCAGTATATTTGGAAGCTTTAAGATTGTTATATAGAAGTTTCCGAATAATAGTTACAAAAGCTGCAAACAGATGCCGCTGTAATCGCAATACGTAGTGAGGATATATCCAAAAAACGTAAGAACGATCAGTTTCTACCCTTTGAAACGTCAATACAGATTAGAATGGAAGAAGAGGTTGAAATCTTGTATTCCATTGAACAACGTGTGTTTCTGGTACTGAAATACCAGAGGTTATATCAAAGTCCTATGGCAAAAAGGTGTAGTTTCCAAGCACGATTTAACGTTCCCAAAGTACCCGATGTGAGAACCATACACAAGCTCTTTGTTAAATGTCCGACGGACAGGCAGCGTGGCCGATGATCTGGTAAACAGTTTTGGTCGCAGGCAAACTGTAGTTTCTCCTGAAAAATGTCGCAACTGTTTGTGGTTTCCTTAGATTCAGCAAAATCTAAGGAAATCCGTCTGAAGAAATTGCAGCAAAAACTAATTTGAAGCATTCTAGTCTGCAGAAAATACTGAGAAACAGCCTAGACATGTTTCCATTCAAAACACAAAGTCACCAGGCACCAACGTACAGCGCTTTTGTAGAGCGCTGTTGACAGCATTTGTAATAATTACCTTGTAACTTTAATGATTTAATATATTTGACGTAAAATGAAATTTTAAAAGTATTTTAAACTGCATATCGATATTGTGAATAACATAGGACTGAGTACGCCGAAATCGTAACATTAAGTGCAGTGACGTCATCAAACAGTGAAGTGGCCTGATCCATTGTAGTTGACACACGGAATAACTCATGAAGGTAAGAAATACAGGAGAGGCCACAACTGGTTTTTCTCATACACTGACTTGAAAAAGTGACGAACCCTGTTGGTGACCAAAACACTCAGGGACTTCCCATTAAGATCAACATGCTTTGACAAAATCGGAGGAAAATAAATGCATACTATATTTTCTTTTCTACAATTTCAAGTATGTGAAAGAATATATTTTTAAACAATAATTCATTCTAAACAAATTAAATGCTCTACGTTTCCAAGAACAGTTTTAATTTGAATGAAATGTTTACTAAAGATTGGGGTAATAACATTAGAAAAATTTTTAAGGTAATTCGATTGTATTCGGTTAACGATTACGAAAATTAAATTCAAAGTTTATGGTATTAATATTAAAACTACGCATTATTTCATTTCTATTTATAGAGCTTCTTTCTGAAATACTTTCTCAAATAAAAGATGATTTTCAGCTTCTGAGCCATCTTTTAAATCAAAAATCATAGTCTCTCAAATTAATGCTCTCTTCGGCTCATTACACCTTATATTTTAACAGTGAAATATACGTTAAATATTGCTGCTGGTTTCTGATTTCCACGTACTTAAAACTTTCTATGATTACTTATGAAAGGAAGGGAGTTTGCTAATATTATATAAAACTTGCAACAGAATTATTACAAAATGTCAAGAAATAGTTCTTTTAATACTTTTTCTAAAATATTTTTTTTTTACCCTTGATTTTAAAAGTACACAATCTAAAAATTCTACTTTACTACTCCCTTAAGTATGCATCTTGTAGAGTGTGCTTTACAAAACATTTTAATAAACTGTTTTCCAGTACGAACAGTTCTTGCTTATATAGCTTTTTTAATATATTTTTCAACAGATTTTTAATTTACGTTTAGAATTAAATGTTAAAATCATTAGTATATATTTAGATAATATTTATAGTCATAAATTTAGATACATTTGATAATTAGATTTCTTCTCAATAACATTAACGGGAGTTTATGAATGAACAAATCGTTCATTTCCAAATAAATTCATAAATCTGTTAAAGGCGAATGCATGCTTTTCACAAAGATATGCATAAATATATTCAACATTTTTTTATTTTCGACATTAGCAAATTTTTAATTTCTGTGCATTCACTGTATTTTTCGATTAAAAAATTTGCAATAATTTTGTATATATCAGAATGTTTTACATAAGAAATGTGTATAAATTAAATGAAAATTACATGCATGATTTTAATACGCACTCAAAGTCAATTTTCCTTCGAACGTCCTCACGAAGGCCTCTCTCCCCTTACGCAGATTTTAAACAACTTAAACTTGCTTATGAGCCAAATTACAAATATTTTATCATGCATAATTTTATATTTACATTTAGACATCAAGTTTCAATTTTTTGACTTAAAACTCGTTTTTAGATACATTCATTGCCAAATTTAGATTTTCTAATAAATATATTTTGGCAGAGCATTCAATACCTTTCCTAACAATTTTAATAGTTCTCTCATACTCTAATAAATAACAACTAACCATTTAACTTTTAAACATTAACTTCACTGTCATCAGATTGCAATCTTGATTGTCTTACTCTGCGCACGAACACTGCTTTCTTTTTTTTAAACATTTAAAATAACTAATTAATCTAAATTCACAAATACCTGAAATTTACATGTTTCAAGGTAATACAGAATGTAAAAATATGTAAAGTGTATTGGTATACCGGTTAATAAC